ATCCTTAGGATCAAAATTAAAATTCCTTAAAGGGACTTTAAAACCCTTCCGGCTGGGCACGGTGGCTCACACCTGTAATCCGAGCACTTTGGGAGACTGAGGAGAGAGGATCACTTGAGGCCAGCAGTTCCAGAGCAGCCTGGGCGACGTAGTGACACCCTGTCTCTACAAAAAATATAAAATTTAGCCGGGCATGGTGGTGTGTGCCTGTAATCCCAGCTATTCAGGAGGCTGAGGCAAGAGGATCCCTTGAGCCCAGGAGATCGAGCTGTAGTGAGCTATGATTGTGCTACTGCACTCCAGCCTGGGTGACAGAATAAGATTCTGTCTCTAAAAAAATAAAAGCCCTTCATCTGATTCCCGGCTACGTCTCCAGTTACTCCCAAGTTCCACTCTAACTCTGGAGTGGGCTTGTTATCTGACCCTGAGCCTTTGCAGTTATCCCAGCCTAGAACAATCTTCCCTTCCCCCTTCCCCCTGCTCACCCCTGCTGACCCCTGCTCAACTAATTCACCACTTCCTCCAGCAGGCCCTTCCAGACTACCCAGCCCATGTAAGCTGTCCCTTTGGGTGAGGAGCCTCTTTGACAAGTTATTTAACTTCTCTGTACCTTAAGTTTCTTCTGTAATAAAATGAGGATAATTATCTTCTTTCTGGTTTTTTTTTAAAAAAGAAAGAAAATAATAATAATAATTATTTTTTAAAACTAACTAAATAAAATGAGGATAATGACAGTACCTATGTCACAGAGCTTGTTTATAGAGATTAAACAAGAAAATATCTGTAAAGGACTTAGCACAGGGCCTGGCAGGTAAGCACTCAGTAAATAATGGCTGTTATTATTGGTTCTTCTATTAAAATCCTGATGTTGTATAATAGTGGACTCTTCTCAGCGTGTCGACTAGACTGTAACATCAATGAGAGCAATGTCCAGCGCTTAGCACGGTGACTGGCACAAAGACATTTAATAAACATTTATTGAATAAATTAATTCACATCAATTTGGTCCATCATTATTTCTTGTATGGATTAGCTATCCTTGCGGCCTGAAGACAGACTTGATTATCCCAAAATCAAGCCTTCACCTGCTGTTAGAGTTTAAGGTAATCTTTCTATAACGGAACTTAATTATCACTTTCCTGCTTAAATCCATCAGAGGCTCCTCACGTCTGCAGACATGCGGGCCAGGCCTTTCCAGGACAATTGCCCTTTGGCTCTTCCACCCGCACTCCATTCCATTGCCATCCCTCCTTCCCAGGGCTCTGCTGGCTGGCTACACTGAGACCCTTGCTGCTTCTAGAACCCTCCAGCCACTCTCTCCTCAGCCCCAAATATCTCCCCTTCTTGCCCACCCAGCAAAACACCTACTCCCCTCCCAACACCCTGTCCCAGATGGCACAACCTGGGGGCCATCTGACGGCAAACCTGGCCTTGAAAATGTATTTTTATAATGTGTATTAGTCAGAAATTTGAAAATAAGAGCATATTGCCTAAAAACCCAGATTTCTGTCTCTTAGAAAAATGAGGAGGGGTGGCCACAGCAGGTCCCCCTTTCTGCATGGCAACATTGCTTTTTATTTTTTTTTCTTTTGAGACAAAGTCTCACTCTGTTGCCCTGGCTAGAGTGCTGTGGTGTCAGCCTAGCTCACAGCAACCTCAAACTCCTGGCCTCAGCAATCCTTCTGCCTCAGCCTCCAGAGTAGCTGGGACTACAGGCACGTGCCACTATGCCTGGCTAATATTTTGTATTTTGGGTAGAGACGTGGTCTCGCTCTTGCTGAGGATCTTCTCAAACTCCTGAGCTCAATTGATCCTCCCACCTCAGCTTCCCAGAGTGCTAGGATTACAGGCGTGAGCCACCGCGCCCGGCCAAGGCAACATTTCTAGAGCTGTGTAGAGGGGGGCTTTAGACAGAGCTCATGCTGCTATACTCTCTCCAGCTGGCCTGGCTCCTGGAGGCAACTGGGTCTGCTGCCCGTGTCGTGACCTCACAATGTTTTGACCCACCCATCTGCAGTGAGGACCTTGGCTTCCTCTCCTCAGCAGCCACCTAGTTGCCACCGCTCTGTGTCCTGTCCCCTTCCACACACCGCTGCTCTTCCATGTCTCTCACACTTTCCTTCTGCCCTGACCTCACTGCAAACCTTATCCCTCCTTGGCTCTCCCCTCACACCTGTCACTGTCACTCCTGTCCATGGCTCTCCTGAATCTCACTCTCCATCCCTTTACTCTTGGCAATACTCTCACCATTCCTTGCCTTGAGAACTCCAACCCTAAGTCAAAACGGCCTGACACTTTTATCATTTCTTCACTCAAGCCGTTGAGTAATTTGAAAAACTCCCAATATATCAAGGTAGGGATGATAACTATCACACCACTAACTATTTTACGTGTCAATTTAGATGGGCCATGGTGCCCAGGCATTTGATCAAAAGTTCTGGATCTTTCTTTGTTGTTGAGACAGAGTCTCGCTTGTTGCCCGGGCTAGAGTGCCATGGCGTCAGCCTAGCTCACAGCAACCTCAAATTCCTGGGCTCAAGCAATCCTGCTGCCTCAGCCTCCCGAGTAGCTGGGACTACAGGCATGCACCACCATGGTTGGCTAACTTTTTCTATATATATTAGTTGGCCAATTAATTTCTTTCTATTTATAGTAGAGACGGGGGTCTCACCCTTGCTCAGGCTGGTTTCGAACTCCTGACCTCAAGCAATCTGCCCGCCTTGGCCTCCCAGAGTGCTAGGATTACAGGCATGAGCCACCGCGCCCGGCCTGGATCTTTCTTTGAAGGTGAGTTTTGGATGAGATTAATATTTAAATCAGTGAGTTTTGAGTAAAGCAGATTACCCTCCATAACATGGGTGGGCCTTATCCAATCAGTTGAAGGCTCTACTAGAACAAAGAGTCACCTCCCCAGAGAAAGAAGGAATTTTGCCAGCAAACTGCCTTTGGACTTGAACTACAACTCTTTCCTGAGTCTCTAGCTATCAGATTTTGGACTCGCCAAGCCTCCACAATTGCATGAGCCAATTCCTTAAAATAAATATCTCTTGGCCAGCGCAGTGGCTCACGCCCGTAATCCTAGTACTTTGGGAGGCCGAGGTGGGCAGATCACTCCAGCTCAGGAGTTCAAAACCAGCCTGAGCAAGAGCGAGACCCCTTCTCTACCAAAAATAGAAAGAAGTTAATTGGACAGCTAAAAATATACAGAAAAAATTAGCCGGGCATGGTGGGGCATGCCTGTAGTCCCAGCTACTTGGGAGGCTGAGGCAGAAGGATTGGTTGAGCCCAGGAGTTTGAGGTTGCTGTGAGCTAGGCTGATGCCAGGGCACTCTAGCCCGGGCAACAAAGTGAGACTCTGTCTCAAAATAAAATAAAATAAATATAAATAAATCTCTCTGAGCTGGGCATGGTGGCGCATGCCTGTAGTCCCAGCTACTCAGGAGGCTGAGGCAGGAGGATTGATTGAGCCCAGGAGTTCAAGGTTGCTGTGAGCTAGGCTGACGCCACGGCACTCTAGCCGGGCAACAGAGTGAGACTCTGTCTCTAAATAAATAAATAAATCTCTCTGCATATACACATCCTGCTGGCTCTGTTTCTCTGCAGAACCCTGACTAATAGAGTCGGTGGCTCTGCAGACCAGCGGGGCCATAACCACCTTTCCTTGTCCAGACCTCTCCCCTTGCATCAGTGACACAGCTGGAAGAACAAATTCTGAATTATATCCCACCTCATATCTGCTCTGTGACCTTGGGAAAGTCATTTAGCACCTCTGATCCCCTAGTCTTCATCTGCAATGAGGGTTAATAAAAAGGAGAGATAAGAGGAATTATTTAAATTAATATTTATTGAACCATATACTGTGCTAGGTACTTGTAAATAAATTAGCTTGAGTGGTAGTCACAATACCCCATTGAGATAGATTTTATACCCTTTCTATAGAAGAGGAAACTGCAGCTCACGGCAAGTCGGTAACTTGGCCAAGGTCAGAAAACTGGAAGAAGATTTGGGGGGAGTGGTTGGTTATATTATAGCCTTAATTTTTTAGAAAAGGAGGATCCAGGTCCCTTCCAACCCTGAATGACTGGGATTTTCTAATTTTTGTTTTGGTCATCTCATTTTCAGAGGGATCTTCTAATTCTTATAGGCTTTTCTGGAGTCAGCTCCCAAGGATAGAGGCTCCACCACTGAGTGATCTACCTAAAGTCATATGGCATCTTATCAACAGAAGGACAGTAGCTGCCATCAGAGGCTGATGTGCCCATGGAGCCAAGTGGACATGCTTTTCTAGTTGGCTGGGAGGCAGAAGAGTGGCATTGTGGAAAGAGAACCATGGGCACGTCAGACAGACCTGGGTTCTGATCCCAGGTCTTCTGGGTGCAGAACTACCATAGTACAAGGGAAATTTTACAAAGTATCATAGTCCAGAAAGAGGAGTTTTGTTTTAGAAAATAGTCTTCTAGCCTGGGCAGGATAGAGCTATTAGGAGTTCCTTGAGAGCAGAAACTTATCTTACCTTTGTATCCTTGGTGCCTCCTACAGTTCCAAGGACATACTTGGTACTCGATAAATGTCTGTTGGTTTGAATAGGAGATTTGGGAGAAAGGAGACAGGGGAGGGAACTTGAGAGAGTTTGGAATTAAGAATCCAAGGAGACAGTCTAGAAAGAGTGGGTCCAACAGAGAGACTCTAGACATAAGTAGCCCTGATTCCCTTGCTCCAAGCCACTGGGAAGTCCTCCAGAGGAACAGGGTGCTGTGGCTTTAAATGACTTCAGCATTGTCAATGAATCTGCTCTGCTAAAAGAGTTATCCTCTTGCTCCTGCGCTTGGCCTCCCCCTCCTCTCAGTTCCCCAAACCCTTCTCAGCCGCTGTGATGGGATAATTAGATGCGAGAGCTCAGCACAGATGATGCTCCAGTTGCTTAGCAACTAATGGTTTCCATGGAGACCGCAAAGCACAGCCTCCAGAGCAGCCAGTGAGCAGCTCGGCAGGGCAGGGAGAAGACGCAACTCTCTGCTCCTCCAGAAACCTGGGGAGGGCCGGGGTGGGAAGGTGGGGGGGATTGGAAGGAGAAAGGAGGACTTAAAGGCACAGGGCTCTCTTATGCCTTCAAAATCTGATCAGAGATTTGCCCTCTGCTTCCCTACTCTGTCCTTTTCATAATTTGAGATAGGAATGGGGGCTTGAGAGTAGATATAGTGCAACCTACCCTGCAATAAACTCTCCTCCTTTCTGCTTCCTGGTTGTGACTGAAATGGGGAGAGAGACCTCTCAAGTCCAAGTGTAAACATCCTGAGGGGTGGATGATGGGATTTGAGGGGTTCCAGGAAGATGCTCTCCCCCTGGCATTCCACCATTAATTCTGTTCCCTCTCTCCCAAGTTCTCCTTAATGTGTAAAAGATCATCTTTGAGTTTGTAGGATATGGTCTAAAGGGGGACAAAAGCCAAGGTGCAGGAAAAACAGAATCTAATGCTTCACTCAAAGGCAGCCTGTCCTGGCAGACTGGGGAAAAACACCTGCCCCATCTCCATGGAAGCAGATCCAGTGGTGGGGGCAGCTCGGGGGGTGGGGGGGCTCTCAGACCCGCATCATCAGCGTCCCAGGAAGCAGCGCGTCAGAAATGCAGAATTTCAGGTTTTACCTCAGACCCACTGCATCAGAAACTGCATCTTAACAAGATCCCTGGTGATTAAATTTGCACATTAAATTTGGAGAAACACTGGCCTAAGACCCTCTATTTGGGCCCATGAGTTTTGTCTTTACTGTCATTCCCCACTCACACCCCAAACTTTGAGCCTACCCTTCTCACCCTGGGGTGAAGGAACACAACCTCCCTCACTTTCCTGCCACGACCCTGGCTCTTCTCTGGGAGGGGCGAGACAGAATGGTTCATGGAGCAAAGAGATGTGCAGCAACAGTGGCTGTGGAACGCGCAGCCTCTTTAGAGCTCTACAACCTCTCCCGACCTCTGCTTTCCACAGGTGACTCTGTCTGAGTCTCAGTTTCCACTTCCACACAAGGGCGCCAATGACATCTACCACCCAGGATGGCTGCAGCACTAAGTGTGTTGGAGCACGCAGGGCCCCCGCCCGGTGCCCACAGTGAGAACTGACTCCTTGTCTCCCCGACCCTCTGCTCAGAACTCCTCCACTCCTCTCCAATGGAGCCCGGGGTGGGGATGCAGTTAGGGGTGAGGGATGCAGTTAGAAAAGTCATGTCTTTTTTTCATGTTCTTTTACCAGGTCTCCTTCTCATCTTCATGCTCAGTTCAACAAATGGTTGCTGCCCAAGGCTGACTGTGACCACCCCCACCCCTGCTGGCCTGGGTCAGTGTCCCCCTCTCTGGTCTCTGTGGAAGTCTTTCCTGTCCTTCCTTGTCCCACCATCCAGGGGAATCTGAAGCCCTGCATGCTCACTGTCATGCCTGCCTCTCCCAGAGTGGCAGTATCTGGGCCTCAGTCCACACCAAGAACTGAACCCCTTGCTCTGCTGCCCCTACCTCCACTGCCAGTGCCTTTCTCTTCCATTCTTACTCAGCCAAGGCCCTTTCAGGAGCTTCCTGGGAAGACCCCCACCTGGGAGAGCAGTCCCCTACAGGCCAAGCTCCAGATGCATGTGCACACAGGAACACTGTGCCTTACACGTGGGAGTCTCAGAAGAAGGGGTGATTTCTACCATCATCTTAGCTACCCTGTCCCCTGCAGCCGGCTAAGCCACCAGGATCCAGCCAGGGCATCCCCCCTCCTAACCTGAAGGCCAGCTCCCCATCCTGAAAAACCTGTCTGCCCCCCTCCTTTGAGGCTATAGGGCCCAAGGGGCAGGTTGGACTGGATTCCCCTCCAGCCCCTCCCAGCCCCAGGACAAAATCAGCCACCCCAGGGGCAGGGCCTCACCTGCCTCAGGAAACCCCAGCCTGCCAGCACCTGCTCCAGCTCCCAGCCCAGCATGGCATCCCTGCTGCCCATCCACACCGCGCCCTTGATCCTGATTCTGCTGGTTGTCTTGGCCCCAGGAGCTGCAGGTCTCTGCTATCTCTGGCCGGGGTGGGAGGTGCTTGGGGGCCTGGGTAGGGGGCACTGTGCCTTCCAGGGTTCTCAAAGAGGAGCTAGTTTGGGGCTGGTGATGGCACTGACCAGGCATGAGACACTGGGCCCAGGGCACACTCCTGGTCCTATTCCAGACCCAGGAGGCAGAGAGCTCTGGGCAAGGATCCAAAGGGTAAGGTTGGGTGCTGCCCAGCTCCTGGCATCCAGGGTCTGGCTCCCGGCAGCTTGGTGGAGTGTGCAGCTTCTGCAGCCCAAGCCTGCCACCTGGTGGTCACACGAGTAGAGGCCCAGCTGTTCTGCCCACAGACTGGAATGTGCATCCTTAGCAATAGCCCCAGGGGAGCAGGGCCAAATCCGACGGCCAGGAGTGGGGTTGATGCCCACCTGAGACTACCTCTTGGCCTTGCAGCAGACTTCAACATCTCAAGCCTCTCTGGTCTGCTGTCCCCGGCGCTAACGGAGAGCCTGCTAGTTGCCTTGCCCCCCTGTCATCTTACAGGAGGCAACGCCACACTGATGGTGCGGAGGGCCAATGACAGCAAAGGTCTGCTACCCCCTCCCAAAGTATCCCCCAAGTCCCCAGAGACCTCTTCCCAGGACATCCCCAGCGTCCCTTCCCCCATTCATGCCTTCCTATCAACCCCTTTACTGGGGCCAGGAGAAGCTGCCCCGTTCTCCTTGGGGCCTCCAGAAACTTGACCCTGCCTTTCACCCCCAATTCCCTGCCCAGTGGTGAAGTCCAGCTTTGTGGTGCCTCCATGCCGCGGGCGCAGGGAGCTGGTGAGTGTGGTGGACAGCGGGGCTGGCTTCACAGTCACTCGGCTCAGTGCCTACCAGGTGACAAACCTTGCGCCAGGAACCAAATACTAGTAGGTACCTGGTCCAGGCCTGGGGTACCTGTGGGAAGGGGGTGTAGGAAGAGAAGCTGGTCGGGGGGTATGGTCAGCATGGGGAGAGAGTGAGGCTCAGCTAAATGGCATAAGAACTGGGCCCCTCTTGGAGGAGTGCACATATGGGGGGCTGGAGCCCTCTTCCCCTAAGTCCCAGATACTCACTGAGGGTTCTCTCCTCTCTCTTTCCCCACCACAAAAGCATTTCCTACCTAGTGAAGAAGGGGACATCCACTGAGTCCAGCAGAGAGATCCCAATGTCCACTCTTCCTCGTAAGTTACACTCCCACCCCCTTTCACATTTAGCGTCCACAAAACCCTCCCTGACCCCTCACACCTCATCCCCCAGTCTGGGTTAATTGTGCCACCCCCTTGGCACCTTGGCTTACCTCTATCCTAGCACTGAGCCCTTGGCATGGCAACTGCCTGTTGACTCATTTGCTGTACTCCTAAACTAAAGGCTCCTCGTGGGTAGGGATGTGCCCTGTTAACTCTGAATCCTCAGTGACTGACAGGAGATGCTTCATAAAAGTTTACTTGATGGATGTTTGGATCTGTCAGTGGATGGGTGGATGGTTGATTGGTTGCCTGGTAGGTTGGTTAGATAGTTGGTTGGCTGGTTGGTTGGTTAGTTGGATGGATGGATGGTTGGTTGGATAAGGGCTAGGACGTGAGCCTTGGGTAGGCTAGGAGCCCCTCCTGTTCATGAAGGCTTCCCTTCTCTTTCTTCTGACAGGAAGAAATATGGAGTCCATTGGGCTGGGAATGGCCCGAACAGGGGGCATGGTGGTCATCACAGTGCTGCTCTCCGTTGCCATGTTTCTGCTGGTTCTGGGCCTCATCATCGCCTTGGCACTGGGTGCCCGAAAGTGAGGAGGCCCACCTAGGGCAGTGGGCTCCTCCAGAAAGTCCAGGCCACTGTCCATTTTTCTCGCCAGCCCACCTCCTCCCAGGCCTCAGTCACTGGCCTTTGGCTCCTTTGGTGACATCACCTCTCCCTCCCTGCCCCCCTCCCCTGCGTGCCTTCCTCCCTCTGTCCCCATCCTGTCCCCAGTGACTCACCTTCCAACACTCCCTATTATTCCCTTCACCCCACTGCTACCAGAGTTGACTTTCTTCTCATTTTATCATTTAACTCTACCCCCCCCTTAACAATCCACCCCTCCTTCAGTGAAGTAAGTTCCCTACAATAAAGGCTGATGCCATATCTACCGTGCGTGTTTCTCCTTAGTGGGCTCCACTGTGTCTCAAACCTATAGAATCTGTCAAGGCTGCGGGTGCGGGTCCCCTCTCTGCCCCATAGCCCAGAGTTGCTTTTCCCATGAGGCAGGCAGGGGCCAGATGAGGTAAGAACCCAGAAGCCAGACTTCTCAGACCCACGCCTAGGCTGTGGGTTTTGCACCCTCCACGGCACACAGCAGGCCACCCATCCAGGGGTCTGGGGATGGGGGCAGAACCTGGGGCCAGTGCCCCTTGTGGGGGCCAGAAGGTCTGAGGGCCTAGGGATGGGGGGCTGGCAGAGCAAGGGGAAGTGCTAGGGAAAAGAGGAGAGGCTCTGTCTGGAAAAAGACAAAAACAGGGCCACCAGGGTGAGGCCCAAAGACAGGACATGGCTGGGAGTGGGGGGGAGAGAATAGGCTAAAGGGGCTCTAGGAGGGTGAGAGCAGAAGTAGAAGCACCCTGGTGGGGAGGGGACAAGAATGTACAGCCTGGCACAGAGAGGAAAGGGCAGGAGTCACCCTCATTTACTTTTGTCCTCTCCAATATATATTCCTTGTAAGGATCAGGGAGCTTTGTGTTGCTATTAGGATAAAGACCTTCAAGGCCAGGCCTGACCTAACCCCTAACTGTTCCTCAGCTCTTACCAAGTTCAATGTCCTGTGTTCCCTCATGCCTAAGGGCCTTTGCACAGACTTCCGCATGCCCAGACAGCTTTCGTGACTACCCCTCTCTATCCCTATTTGCACAGTTAGTTCACTATCCTTTCTCCAGGGAAGCCTTTCCTGACCTCCATTGCCTCCCATTAGCTTGGGTTCCCCTATCCTGTCTTTCACTGCATACAATGGTTTACATATCTTTTTTTTGAGACAGAGTCTCACTTTGTTGCCCAGTCTAGAGTGAGTGCCATGGTGTCAGCATAGCTCACAGCAACCTCAAACTCCTGGGCTCAAGCAATCCTTCTGCCTCAGCCTCCAGAGTAGCTGGGAACATAGGCATGCATCGCGATGCCTGGCTAGTTTTTTCTATATATATTAGTTGGCCAATTAATTTCTTTCTATTTATAGTAGAGACGGGGGGGGGTCTCACTCTTGCTCAGGCTGGTTTCGAACTCCTGACCTCGAGCAATCCACCCGCCTCAGCCTCCCAGAGTGCCAGGATTACAGGCATGAGCCACTGCACCTGGCCTAACATTTTTTCTTAATTTTAACTTCCAATACAATACATTTTATTTATTTTGTTTTATTTTTGAAACAGAGTCTCACTCTGTTGCCCAGGCTACAGTGCTGTGGAATCAGCCTAGCTCACAGCAACCTCAAACTTCTGGGCTCAAGCAATCCCTCTGCCTCAGCCTCCCGAGTAGCTGGGACTACAGGCACGTGCCACCATGGTCAGCTAATTTTTTCTACATATTTTTAGTTGGCCGATTAATTTCTTCCTAATTTAATTTTATTTTTTTTTAAGCCAGTCAAATTTAGCAGTTGGGGGTTGAATACGAACTTTAGTGACACTAATGTTAGTAAGTGCTGATAACCCACTACCATCAGACCAGCCTCTTTCTAATTTTAGTAGAGATGGCGTCCCACTCTTGCTCATGCTGGTTTTGAACTCCTGACCTTGAGCGATCCTCCTGTCTCGGCCTCCCAGAGTGCAATTAACATGGAACTTAGTAGAAGAGATAGAGGCCCCCAAAATGTGAACAATTAAATACAAAATGTTACACGTGCTGCAAACAATGGAAAAGGGGGTGGCCCTTTTTTAGTTTGGGTGGGCCCATAGGAGCTGAGGCCTGAAGTCAGGAGAGAGAGAGTCAGGGAGAATGTGCCCCATGGAGAGAAGAGTCTGGGCAGTGCTCCCTCTCACCCTAACTGTACCAGCCCAGGAAGGTTTAAGCCCAACCTCTTTGTGTTGTAGGAAGAGCACTGGACAGGAACCCGATTATGCTGCACGTTAGTATATCTAAAAGGCTTTTAAAAATTCTGGGTCTTTGTCCCAATAGAGGCCGCCATATCGGTGCTCTGGGACTTAGACCCTAGCTCGAGCTAGTCAATAAAACTCCTTTTGATGAAAAAATAAAAATAAAAAAAAATAAAAATAAAATAAAAATTCTGATGACCAGGTCACACCCCATACCATTCATTAGGATGAATGGTGGGAGCCAAGCATTAGTATTTTTTAACTATCCCTAGGAGATTCCAATACTCGGCAAAGTTTGAGAATTACTGACATAAACATGTTTTTGTTGTGGTCAAATATACATAAGATAGCCAGGCATGGTGGCAGGCATCTGTAGTCTCAGCTACTCAGGAGGCTGAGATGGGAGGATCACTTGAGCCCAGGAGGTCAAGACCAGACTGGGCAACATAGTGAGACCCTAGCTCTAAAATAAATAAATAAATAACTTAAAAACATACATTTTTTTTTTTTTGAGACAGAGTCTCACTGTGTTGCCCAGGCTGGAGTGAGTGCCATGGCGTCAGCCTAGCTCACAGCAACCTCAAACTCCTGGGCTCAAGCAATCCTTCTGCCTCAGCTTCCCAAGTAGCTGGGACTACAGGCGTGCATCACCATGCCCAGCTAATTTTTTTCTATATATTTTTAGTTTCCAACTAATTTCTTTCTATTTTTAGTAAAGATGGGGTCTTGCTCTTGCTCAGGCTGGTTTTGAACTCCTGACTTCCAGCGATCCTCCTGCCTTGGCCTCCCAGAGTGCTAGGATTACAGGCGTGAGCCCCGGCCTATTTTAACTATTTTAAAGCATATATTTCAGTGGCATTAAGTATATTCACATTGTTGGCCGGGTGTGGTGACTCATGCCTGTAATCCTAGCACCCTAGGAGGCCCAGGCAGGAAGATCGTGTGAGCTTAGGAGTTCAAGACCAGCCCAAGCAAGATCAAGATCCCCGTCTCTACTTAAAATAGAAAAAATTAGGTGGCCATCATGGTGCATGCCTGTAGTCCCAGCTATAGGGAGGCTGACGCAGGTGGATCGCTTGAGCTCAGTAGTATGAGGTTGCAGTGAGCTATGATGATGCCTTTGCACTCTACCCAGGAAAAAAAAAAAAAGTATATTCACCTTGTTGTTCAACCATCACCACTATCCATTCCCAGAATTTTTCATCATTCCAAACAGAAACTCTATACTGATTAAATAATAATTTTCCATTCCCCCCCTACCCTCTTGAAACCACCATTTTATTTTGTCTCTATGAATTTGGCTATTCTAGATACCTCATATAAGTGGAATCATACCGTATTTATCTTTCTGTGTCTAGCTTATTTCACTTACCATAATGCCTTCAAGGTTCATGCATATTGTAGCATGTATCAGAATATCATTCCTTTTTAAGGCTGAATAATATTCCATTGTATGTATTTACCACATTTGGTTTATCTATTCATCTACTGATGAACACTTAGGTTATTTCTACTCTTTCGCTATTGACTATTGTGAATAATGTTGCTATGAACATTCAGTTCTTTGGGTATATACCCAGAAATAGAATTTCTGGACCATAATTTTTTGAGGAACTGCCATACTGTTTTCTACAGTGGCTGCACCATTTTATATTCCCACCAGTAATACACAAGCATTCCAATTTCTTTTTTTTTTTTTTTTTTTTGAGACAGAGTCTCGCTTTGTTGCCCAGGCTAGAGTGAATGCCATGGCGTCAGCCTAGCTCACAGCAACCTCAAACTCCTTGGGCTCCAAGCAATCCTCCTGCCTCAGCCTCCAAGTAGCTGGGGACTACAGGCATGCGCCAGCATGGCCAGCTGAATTTTTTCTTAGTATATATTAGTTGGCCAATTAATTCTTTCTACTTTATAGTAGAGACGGGGGTCTTGCTTCTTGCTCAGGCTGGTTTCGAACTCCTGACGTTGAGCAATCCGCACGCCTTAGCCTCCCAGAGAGCTAGGATTACAGGCGTGAGCCACCGCACCCAGCCCCAATTTCTTTTTTTTTTTTTTTTTCTGATCAATCTTCTTTTTGATATATTTTGAGTTTAGTAACAAAATTTAACCAAACTACGTTTTCATGTATCAAGAGGAAAGAACATGGGAGGAGATAGATAGAAGCACGCAGTATCTACGATCTATAGACCATCCTTGCTCTTGCTGGATCATCACAGGAACCGTCCCATTCACTTAGATTAGGGGCAAGCTACTTTGGCAGTGTGGGAGATCGACTCTGGAGGAGCATGTTCAAAGTCTGTCACTCGGTTACTTGTTATACTGAGTCTTGGGACATAATTCCTTCATAGTTGGAAGGAGACATGATCCCAGGATGAATGGTTGCTGCCTTATGTAACTTCTGAGGTGGATGTGCGTCTTTGGAGGAGGCCAATCTTCCCTGATATCTATGATGAATTTCTATTTCCACTAATTTTCTTCTCTTCGTCTGTTTTTGACAAACAGAACAAGAGGGATAAGACCAATGAGCACTCTTAGTCATTGCCCAATTTCTTAAATAAAAATGGAGTTCCAAATCTTACTCATACTTGTTTCATTTTGGGTTTTTTTTTTAAATAGCTATCCCAAATGAATATGAAGTGGTATCTTTATATGTTTTGTTCTTTGTTTTATGGTTTTGTTTTCTTTTATGCCATTACTCTCTGTAGGGTTTTTTTTTTTTTTTTAGAAGTTCACTGTGCACTCAGGCTGGAGTACAGTGGCTATTCACATAGGCAATTATAGCTCACTATGGCCTGGAACTCCTGGGCTCAAACAATCCTCCGGCCTCAGCCTCCCCACTAGCTGGGACTACGGGAGCTGTGCCACCCTGCCTGGCAACATTTAAACATCCATGATGAAAAAGATTGAAAGAACATACATCAAAATGTAGCTGGTTGCGGTGGCACATGCCTGTAGTCCTAGCTACTTGGAAGGCTAAACTAGGAGGCTCCCTTGAGCCCATGAGTTCTAGACCAGCTTGAGCAACAAAACAAGACCCCCTCTCTGGCCAGGCACAGTGGCTCATGCCTATAACCTAGCACTCTGGAGGGCGAGGCTGGCTCAGGAGTTTGAGACAGCCTGAGCAACAGCGAGACGCCATCACTAGTAAAAAATAGAAAAAAGAGCCGGGCATGGTGGCACATG